AGGCAAGAAAGAGAGTCAGAAAATAGTATATATTGTTTATGTTTGGGGTGTCTTTGAATATATTTAAGAGCTGTTAAGATGGCGTTTGCTTCTGCTGTAAATATAGAGCTGTTATCAGGTATTCTAGAAGATATTGTTCTGGATCCAATGACAGTGGCACATGCCACTGCGCCACCGTCCTTGGACCCATCTGTAAATAAGGATTTGTATGTATTATATTTGATTTTTAATTGATTATATTCTTGTTTATACTGTAATTCATTAGTTTCAGATTTCTTAAACTTTGTCAGAGTTAGGTCAACTTCAGGCCTCACCAGTTGCCAAGGAGGAGAAGAAAGAAGACGGGAAGGAGATATATTTTCCAGCTCAATGCCGGCAGCAGAAAGAAATGGTTTAATTCTTAAACCAAGAGGCGGAACAAGTGAAGGTTTTTTATTATACAAGTCCTCATAAAGAGGATTAAAAACGCAAGTGTGAGCAGGATTGATTCATTAGAATATAACTTTGTGATATATTGTAGGGACAATTTGATACGGCGAAGTTTTAAAGATGGCTCATCGGCCTCAACGTAGAGACTGTCAATGGGAGAGGTTCTGAAAGACCCAAGACAAAGTCTTAGACCCTGGTGATGGATAGAATCAAGTAGTTTGAGGTTGCTTTTACAGGCCCCACCATATACGATGGAGCCATAATCAAGTTTCGAGCGGACCAATGATCGATATAAGTGGAGGAGGGTAGTTTGATCCCCTCCCCACTTTGAGTTGGAAACAACTTTCAACAAGTCAAGGGCCTTCAGGCATTTAGCTTTAAGTGATTTAATATGCGGAAGAAAAGTTAAATGGGAGTCGAAAATTAGACCCAAGAACTTGGCCTCCTTGACAACTTTGATTGGAGTGCCATGTAAAGATAGTTCCGGGTCTTTATGCGGTTTATATTTTCTACAAAAATGTATACAATTAGTTTTGGATTTAGAAAATTTAAAACCGTTTTCAAGACACCATTTATCTATTTTATTTAAACACAGCTGCAGTTGCCGTTCAATAGTATGCATATTTTTCCCACGACAAGAAATATTAAAATCATCCACAAAAAGAGATCCATCAATTGAATCATTTAAAACCTTTGATAAACTGTTGATCTTAACACTAAATAAAGTGACAGACAAAATGCTGCCTTGAGGGACACCCTGATCCTGACTGTAATGATCAGACAGGGTAGTCCCCACTGGACTTGAAATTGTCTGTCTTCTAAAAACTGTGATATAAAAAGGGGTAAACGACCCCTCAAACCAAAATCATGGAGATCTTTCAAAATGCCATACTTCCAAGTCGTATCATATGCCTTTTCAAGATCGAAAAAAATCGACACAGCATGTTGTTTATTTAGCATGGAATTTTTTATGAAAGACTCCAATCGTACCAAATGATCGATGGTACTACGATTTTTCCGGAAACCACATTGAATGTCAGTGATAAGGTTGTTGGTTTCCAGGTACCAAACTAGACGATTATTAACCATACGTTCCATTGTCTTGCAAACACAGCTAGTTAAAGAAATTGGTCTGTAATTAGACGGATCAGTATGATCCCGTCCAGGTTTAGGAATAGGAATGATTATGGCATTGCGCCATGATGGTGGGAAATTACCAGAAGTCCATATACTGTCAAAGATATTTAATAATGTTTCTAAACATGATTCAGGGAGATGTTTAAGAAGCTGATAATGAATATTATCGGGACCTGAAGCAGTGTCATGAGCTTGCCCAAGGGCAGTATGGAGCTCATGAATGGAAAAGATTTCATTATAATCCTCCCCATTATCGGAATTAAAATTAATTTTCTTTTTTTCTTGCTGGTTTTTAAATTTCTGAAAGGTTGGTGAATAATTGGATGAGGAGGAATGTTTGGCTAAAGTTTCACCTAATTTGTTAGCAATATCAGATTTTTCTGTTAAGAAAGAGTCACCCTCCTTAAGATGGTGCACACTACATTTGGAACCTTTACCTTTTATCTTCTTCACCATATTCCATACCTTAGAAATAGGTGTTCGTGAGTTAATGTTAGAAACATAATTTCGCCATGACTGTCGTTTATTTTGCTTAAATGTACGACGAGCCTTGGCGTTTGAAATTTTAAATTGGTTTAAGCTATGGACTGTTGGGTGCCGACGGAAATATTTTTCTGCCTTTTCCTAGCCTTTCTAGCTTGTTTGCAGTCAATAGTGAACCATGGCTTACGGATGTGTGGGACCATAGAGGACTTGGGAATACAATCATCAGCAATCATATTCAATTCATCAGAAAACATCTGAATAGGATCAGACACATTTAGAAAAAAAAATCAGGTTTTAATCTGTTTGTACACAAGGCATCGAATAAAGACCAATCTGCCTTGTTAAAGTTCCACCTAGACGATGGTGCAGCATCACTGGGGTTTATGGCTGAAAGAACAGTGGGAAAATGGTCACTTCCACAAAGATCATCGTGGACTGACCATTCAAATTCATTGTATAAGCTGGAGTCTGCAACGGATAAATCTAGAGAGGAGTATGAGCCAGTTGCAGGATGAAGATATGTGTTAGAATTATCATTGAAAATACATAAATCATTATTTGTGACGAAGTCCTCAAGAATCTTTCCTTTGCGTTGGTGGTATTACTACCCCAAAGTTGGTTATGACCATTTAAATCTCCCATGATAAGACATGGTTTTGGGAGTTATCATAAAGCATCTGAAGATCAGATTGCTGCAGAGACGATGATGGTGGATATACAATGAACATAAGGTAACAACAATATGCAAAGTAACACGGACCGCAACTGCCTGAAGAGGGGTAGTGAGAGGAACAAGACTGTGGATAGTTCCATGATTCACTAAAATAGAAGATCCTCCAGTAGCTTTAGCACCTGGAGGTGAGAAACAGTTGTAGGAATCATATTGTCTGATATCAAATTTATCCGTGTGTTTTAGATAGGTTTCTTGCAAACATAATGCTGATGGCTTGAAGTCTTGAATTAAAAGTTGCAAATCATTGAAATTGTTTCTAAGGCCTCTACAGTTCCACTGAAGAATATTGAAAGTACAGCTCATGGAGGCTGAACTGGAGATCGTGAACCTGAGGAAGATCCTCTCCGTTGAGTTGGTGGAGAAGAATTGACTTCCATGTCTAAAGGTTCAAAATTGTTATGAACCACTACAGGAGATCTTAATGGGGACGGCACCTCTACATGTTTGAGGGTCCGGGACTCTTTCTTCTTTAATTGTTTCCTTTCTTTGCTTGTCAGTTTTACAGGTTTTGGTGATAACTTTGCAGTCTCAGTTTCAGATTCTAGCACTAGCTCAGGTGCAGTTGAACGTTCACTCTGAATCTCAGTCTGTGACGCAGACGTTGAAGATTCGCTGCCATGTGTAGCAAATGTAGACAGTGATTGTTTGTCTGTGACCCAGCAGATGTCAGTCTGACATGCTCTGTCAACAGTACACTTTGAAGATGAAATGGCAGCAGAGTACGAGATTGTGGATGTAGTAGTACGAGTTTGCGGAGTCAGTAATTTAATTGCTTCAGAAAAGGAAATATTATTGGTATGCTTGAGTTTGAGTATTTGTGACTGTTTCTGGTAGAATGGACAGGATTTTGATGAAGAGAAGTGCTCACCATTGCAGTTAGCACACCGAATGTCATCTGTGCAGGTAGTACCATCATGATCTTTACTGCAACGGGAGCAAGTTGGGGACTTAGTACAAGACCTGGCCCCATGCCCAAACTTCTGATTACTATAACATCGGAGTGGATTTGGTATATATACATCCACCCGATGTTGAAATAACCAGCCTTGATTGATGACGGTACTTTGGGAAACGCAAACGTAAGAAGATAAGTGGTCGTTGGTACAACTCTGTCCTGATCTTTCTGGTGAACCTTTTCACAGACGTGACACCTTGAGATTTGAGTTCTGATGCTATCTCATCCTCGGACATGTCAGAAAGACACCTTGCACGATCTCGGATGACACCCCTACTCGAATTTAAATATTTGTGCACAGAGACAGCGATTTCAGTAGTTCCAAAATGATCTGCTTTGAGAAGATTAACTGACTGTTGACGCCGTGAACATTCGACAAGCAGAGATCCATTTCTGAGACGCGTTACATTCTTGACATCTCCACAAATCCCGTCAACAGCCTTGGACACAACAAAAGGGTTAATCTGGAGAGGTGCTCCATCAACGCCATTAACCACCAGAAACCGTGGCCATGAGTCGATGTTACTTTGAGAAACACTTTCATCCTCAGAAGAAGAAATGGTATCTGTATCTAAATGTCTTTATTTTTGGATCTAGAACCAGTGTGAAGTAAGGTTGCCATGATAAGGAAAAATCATTCAACATTCCTGCTCCCCACCCACCATGGAGTGTCAACAAGGACGGTGTCGAAGTGGAAGCCGACTACGACCACCAGGGTTACAGGGATGCTATACTCCAGCAAAAGAGACACGGGTAGCTATAATAATCAAACAGAATAAAAGTAAGGCTGGTTCCGCCCTAGACATTTACCTGAAGACAAACAGAACCCGGAGGTCAATAGTGCCAGATTGGCCCATGAGCCACCGCCTTCTGGCATAGGACTCTAGGCAATTAAATAGAACAATAATTTATAAATACACAATCAAAAATGGCCAAAACCCCAAAAGAGTTAAATGTGCAAAAATGTACACTATGCACAGGGCATGGCGTGACCAGCCGATTGATTGAACCGGGCCAGTTCAACCACCCGTCTAGGTGAAGTAAGGGGCGAAGTGGTGTGTTGGGCAAAGGAACACTGTTCCTGGAACCAGTGCCCTCAACCACCAGCCTCCCGTCCTCCACCGACACAGGGGCGCAACCCACGGCGAACAGGTTGGTGGACCAAAATATCCCCCCGGGTCCACAACGGGGGGTTGAAGGGCGCTTAGCGTGACCCAGCACCCACCACGAGGAGGTGGCCCTTCATGGGTGCCGAACATTAACAACACACGTTTGGTACTCAATGCACTTCCTGTTTTATTATTTCATGATTACGTGAAACCAAATTCATCTCCATAATTTGTGCAAATTATGTCCAAAATAAACGGTATCAAGGTAGACATAAATATGTTAGAGGACAAGTAAAGGACGCCAAATGTACAATTGACATATGAATGTCATTATGGAATGACAGCAAATAATTAAAGGTTATACAAAGAAATAGAGAACACTATCCCCGTTCTCCTTACATTTCTACTATCATATAGACTTTCTATAGTGTCTCACAAAAGCCAGAGGAAAAGTAGAACATATGAATCAGGCGCGTTTCGTATTTCCCACGTTCGATATGGATTATGTGTAAACAAAGAATTTTCGAATTGAGCGAAATATGCCCAGACATATGCATTGTGCAAATATCTGTGAGTACAAAGTAACATGTAATTAACAATGGCTATTTATAAAACGCCTGTTTCCATGAACAAACTAACTTGTCTAGGGTGAGGACACATGTGCTGCGTGTGCTTCGCTGTGGGCAGGACTGAAGTCCTAGAAACTCTCAAGCTGCCAGACATGGTACCCCATCCAAGAACTCGACCAACGTTGTTTACTTTCTTCAGATTTGTGACCTGGGCTCTATACAAAGGACCACAGTCCACCACTTTTCCCATGGAGCAATGACAGTAACGACAACCAGATCAAGTACATGGTAACCACCAACGGGCACTCAACAATACGTCAAAGAAAGAAAGATACGTCATAGCCCTTGGAATCAGGGACCCACAAGCAGCCACTAACATGGTCTTTAAAACTGATCAACATTGATCACTTATCTGGCTGTATAATATTCAGCGTAAGTTTCTTTTGTAAAGTATGAAATCAGGGTAATTGGCAAAGAGGTTTGTTGCAACGATGCCACACCACACTGAATTACATCTACAATCAGGACACTATGGACATTGTGTCACGGGTGGATTCAGAGGCTTGAAAGGGTAACTGTAAACAGATAACCGTAATGTATGTTGTTTGAACCCGAGTTTAACATTATTCCAGCTATACGATGGAAATAATCGAGTCACTGTATCAGCCAATCCACTTGGAAAATATGGACACCGATCTATGCCAGTTGGACACAATGATTCTTGTCACCCACATCAGTCACTCTGACCGCCCGATTCCATTAGACCACTTCTACCCTTCAGAAAAGAATCACCGTGCAAGGAATGTTACTTTTAGTAATAATAAATACAGAACCATCAATAAAATGGAAGGCTGGTCATTTATATCTCGTGTTCGAAATTGTCATGTACTTGATGATTTACGAGCTGCTGAAAATTAATTCCAACACAAATCTTCACTGGTTACCGAATATGTGACGATCATTATAGTTAAAAATGCATGTCCGTTTCGATTCAAAAGGTGCCGGATTTATAAAAGAAATGTATGTTGTGACCAATCCGCCTTGATAACTTAGTAAAGGCTTTGTGATTGGGATACGATGACATGTGTCAACCATGTCAGAGAGATTGACCTCCCCGATCCCGTTAGACGCCTCTTACGACAAGCAATAGTTGCTGAAGGCCATTTCTAACCCGGGTGGGATATGGTCCGATTTAAATCTTTATAACAATTACCGTGGAAACAAATGCGAAGCGTGAGGTTCTTGTGTGGTTTAAAAAAGCACTAATACACACCAAAATAAAATGGAAACACTATGGGACACGTGTCGCGTATGAGTCTGGTATCTCGCAACTTCTATCTGTATCTCTGGGTCAGATACTGATTTGGAACAATCCCCTAAGTGAGGCATGAAAACATAGGCTCTTTTTATAAGTTCCAACAGTGCTTCAGAAGCTATTACCAACACATAGTAGAATACTTCCTAGAATAATCACGCCACAAAGAAGTTATTGTTTGTGCTTTTTAAAAGAGTCAAAGCCAAAAAGATTTTCTTTCCTCTTTCCGCTAAAGCGTCAGACAACCTCACACAACGACCACCCTGGATTTGAGCACGAAGTGGTCCTTACTTTATCTTCAGTCAGGTATGCACATCCACTGTTGAATGAAGATGGATGCTTTGATCCTTCCCGGACAAAGGTCGATCCATCGGTCCAGGCATAGCTGGTTGAGCTTGTCGTCTGCAGTCCAATAAGCGCCCCTGTTCAGGAAAAACGACCACACCTTAATTTTGCATACACACATCTTTGAATGTGTTTGTTATGGCGGCAGCGGTTTGTATATAATCTAGACCACAAATTTCAATGATCAGCAGCATGAGCACTGATCTACGCAAGTGTGATACGATGCCGAGCCAGCGGGCCTGACCACCCGATCACGTTAGTCGCTTGTTATGCCAATCATGGGTTCCTGAAGACCACCCGCGAAGGTCATCACTGGTTCTTGTTCAACGCCACACCCATCAATATCACAGGATATGGGGCCAATGTGTACATAAACGAGTCTCGATCGGAAAACCCAGTGATTGACATCATGAAAATCGATCTGCGCATTAGGGACACATCGCTTTTTGCAATATTCCATGAACATCACAACGGGGGACACCAGAAATGGGCTTCACACATTTTACCCAGGTGGGAAATCGAAACCGGGTTCTCGGCGTGGAGAGCGAACGCATAACCACTAGGCTACCCTAACACCCCTTCTACTATGGACACTAGTCAGTGGTACTTACGTACAATCAAGCACGACATTGTGTGATACTCGATTCTGAGCTCAACAAAATTGTACTTAAATAGCAGTTTAAAGACCGCTAATTAAAGTGACCGACTGACCACGTATGAAAAATTTTGACTCTTTAAACCTGGTAAAGATCTAGCGGATACACGTCCGAACCAGTATGCAGCGCCCTAGTTAACTATTCTTAAGCGGGTTGGTTGAGAAGGGGGTGGGGGTGGTTTATAAGATATTTTATTCCTGCTAAGTTTGGCCAATTTTGTTCATGTTTTTATAAAAAGTTTGTTGTGGTAACTGTACATAATGTTCTGAACTAAACTTTATACATATGTTTATATGCAAAATAACTGTTTTGTTCAGTTAAAAGCATGAATATACAATAGTTCTTTTTCCACAGAGAATTCGACCAAGCGCCTTAGAGCAAACCTTGATTCAGGCACTATACAAATTTTAACATTATTATTATTACAGTTAATTTAATATTATAACTATTTTATTATGTACCGTATTCAGACGACGTCTGAGTCATGAGGGCAGCAATGTAGTCGTGTTTCTCTCTCGTGTTTAAGATGATGAGACGTCCGCCGTCACTCTGACACCGAGCCTGGCTTTCTGCCCAAGTCTTCCAAGGCTTGGTATTGTATAGCTTGTAACAGACGCGGGGGTAGAGGACAGACGTGTAGCCTTGAGACAGTGGACACGGATCCTCACTGGGCAGAGCTGAACACAAAGAAACTAGCATTACAAATCATTTAAAATGTTGAGTGATTGAGCTAAAACGTAACATGGCATCGGCAAGATTTCAGCCATATATTGACGAGACCAAGTTTATACACACGTCCATTATAAAAAGAAATTTATACTTGGAACCTTTTTGCATAAACTTGGCATTTACAATTTAAAATACCATTACATCCATTAATTAAAATACAATATTTGTGCACAAACATTTTCAATTTATGATACAGACGATATTAATTATGAGATGTCCACTCACACGGCTAATCAGACTTTTCATTATTAATATTTATTCTTTATGATGAATCAATCACAATTGAACAGTCCACATATCAGAAAATGCTTGAAGTTGCATCTGTCATGACTAGATATATACCAGGATGGAATCATTCAAACTTGCCAGCAAGATCAAAGATCAAGAGCAAAGTATGTTATTTTGGCTCGATGTTGTAATGTGTATATCTTCGAAGATGTACAAGTCGTTATTTGAGATGTAAAACATTTAATGGGCTTTGAAGAAGATCAAAGATACAGTGATAGTCTAAACACACTGTCAACGGAGAGATAATTAACAAACAACAGAGACAGGACAGGGCTTGGATCCATGTCAAAACCTTTGGCAGGCGTACGTCTCCAGTCCAATAGTTCCGTAACCAGCATTGCTCTATTGAGCCATAGTCGTTCGGACAAATGTGAGGAGTGAGCGAGTGAGTGAGTGAGTTTAGTTTGTGCCGCTTTTAGCAATATTCTAGCAAAATCACGGCAGGGGACACCAGAAGTGGGTTTCACACACTGTACCCATGTGGGGAATCGACCCCGGGTCTTCAGCATGAAGAGCAAACGCTTTAACCACTAGGCTACCCCACCGCCAAACAAATGTGAAGAGATAGGTTTTAGTGGGTTGAAGCACAGCATCTTATAACACAGCAAATAACCTGATAGAAGTGATTGACTGCTGATGAAGTTGCATAGTTATAATAATCTTTGATCAATGTCCGGCAAGCAGAGAGTTCAGATTACGAGCAATGTCTTTACACTGAGACATCTGCATTGATATTGGCAAACTCGGTTGTTTTTGTTCAGATTTCGCGGATTTTGGCGGATTGTTGTCTCTGTGCATAATCATTGAAGAAAGAACTAGACTAAAACCTCTTAGAGGACACCAGCAATACCTGTGTACATTTCGGAAAAAAATCAGTTTAATCGGTTCTTTGTCACAAGCGTCAATAACTGAGAGATGTGGCCTGTAGTCAAACCAAATGGGCGTACTCTTGTTCCATAACGATTTAGCAGAATCAATGTTCTTTGGTTTGAATCCATGATGTTAGGAAACCATGTCGAAAGAAAAGTGGTTCGAGATCCATGTTTCCCATGGACAGAGTGTCAACGAGGAATGTCAAATGCAGCTGTTCCCAAAATAAGCTGCAGGTGATGAGGATAAAGGTGTTGTACGCCACCTAATTTGACACACCAAAAAACCCGTAGGTATTTACAAAATTAATAGTTAGGCTGGTTCGAACAATGAAAATTATTGATCACTTGCAAAATTCGGACATCAGCGCCACCTCATTGGTGTATGAGCCACTGTCCTCTCGGCCCAGGCCTCTAAGCAAGATGTCGTTTTGATAGGAATTTCATGGACATTTAGAGCAATTCGAAAGTCGAAATATCAAATCTGTGTGCAGAACATTCTACGTACAGGGCGTGGCATGACCAACTAAATAGTGGGAACAATTCTACCGCTCGTACAGGCAAACGTAGAGTCGAGGTTGTCTGTTGGGCTAAGGAAGAAGACTGCAGGCTCTGGCGCTCTCCGCCGACACAAACTACGACAAACTGATTGCCAAATTCAGTCGCCTTTTAGGACCAGCAAAAGGGTTGTGGGGACCTATTCTACCCCTGCACCACCGATCAATTGATTGATAAGAGAAAGAGTTCATTTCATTTCTAGATGAACGAGATTGCCTCATGTTGAAGAAAAAATGAGTCAGCATTTCTAGATAAACCAATTTTCGTCATGAAATAGGAAAAAGAATTCAGCACTCATGACCCCAATCCACTATGGACTGTCAACAAGGAAGTGTCAAATAGCACCGGACATCAAACGTGCTAACACCAGGTATACATGGGCGCTATACACCAACAAATGTAACAGAACTAGCAGTATTTATCTACCAAGGTATTGTCAGCGTTGTTCGGCAGAAATTGGACATATTATTTGGGAGTCAACTTCAAATGATAGGCCCATGTCCCACATGCGCCACCTCCCTCCAGTATAGGCAATTTGTGAACTATTAATAGAAGATTTGTGACATTTTGAGTCAGCATCCAACTAAAAGCATAATAAAATCAGCATTAACATTTCGTACTAAGGGCATGGCATGGCCAGCTGATTGATAGAACCGGGCACATTCAACCACCCGTTCAGGTGAAATAAGAGTTGAGGTTGTGTGATGGGCAAAGGAAGATGGTTCTGACTCATTTGCCCCAACCTCCAGAATCCCTTCCTCAGGGGCAACCCTGTGCAAACAGATTGCCCAGTTCGGTCGCACATTCAACAAGCAATTGGGAATGTCGTTATAAAACATTTCTGTTGAGAAAACATTACATATTGACAGACCAAGGCCATAATTTGTAGAGGGATATTGGTTTGGGATGCTTCTGTCATGGCTGATATTGTCATGACTCTCCTGACTGTCGGCAAGCTGAAATGTATATACTTTACAATTCCTCGGATCAAACCACAGTCCTCTAGTAGAAACGAGCAGATATCACAAACTAACAAGACATGAACGCTTATGCTCACTGTGTATTTTCCCAAACGTTGAGGATGAATTCCACTTTTGTTTAGTGTTCCCATTTCATTCAGATTTGCGCTCCATTCTCATTAACAATATTATTACATGTTACCAACTCTTGGTAGTAACATGTGGGCGGAGGGGTAGCCTAGTGGTTAAAGCGTTGGCTCGTCACGCCGAAGCCCCGGTTTTGATTACCCACATGGGCACAATGTGTTAAGCCAATTTCTGGTGTCCCCCGCCGTGATATTGCTGGAATACTGCTAAAAGCTGCGTAAAACTAAACTCAGTCAGTCAGTCAGTCTTGTTAATTGTGTTAATAACACACTTTATGTGTGTAATAAACTTGCAAATACGTATTTCTCGCTTTAAAAACGTAATGCCTCTTTCAAAGAAGAAAACGGTTCTTTGACAGCATCGTGCATAGTTTGTAACAGAGTGAATCAAGCATATCAAATAGTTTCGACATGTTGGTTTACATATGTCACATATCAGAACTTCCCCCTAATGGTTCAAGAATTGTACATCTTTATCCATGTCTGAAGCTACAGCTACGAATACGTAGAGCAAGAAGCGTCTAATAGGATCGGTATTTCAGCTGATACATTTTATCAGAACTTAGGCTGCGTAGCTCGATGCTCTGGGTGTGAACTGGTCCATATTCAAAGAAATACGTTCCGTAATAGATTAAAGTGAGTAGGGTATCGAACCCAAGTCCTTCACGGCAGGAGTGAACGCTTTAACCACTGGGCTACCCCTTGACCTCATAATTTACAGACACATAAGAGACAATGCATGTACCTTGTGTTGAGTAACATGTAAACATATATGGTGTCTTACCTCCTTGTTTGATGTAGGATCGGGACCCTGAGACAGTAATCCCCGACGAAGACAGAGATGATCTGTATATGGTACACTGGTCCCCGTGATACGACAATGAAACACACTTGTCATCCTCGGCACAATGACGGGCGCAGTATTCAACATTTTGAGTTGGTAATACGCTGGATGGTACCTGAATGGCTTTAAGTTGGTCTTGCGTGGTAAGCCTTTCGAAAGTATACTGGTAGGAAGGGGTGCCAGCATAAACTGCCGTCATAAAAAGGGGGAGAAGAAAAAACACCATCATCCTTGTTGGTGTGTCGCATTTGTGTGACATCTATCGGTGGTTCAGAGAGAGTCCATGACGTCCACGATGAAGCCACCGTTCGTCTGAAATGTCTGCTCTTCACACTGTGTTTCTGGTTTTAAAAATTAATCCACGCAGATATATCTCCAACCAACATTATGTCTCTGACGATCACGGTAAAGCCAAAATTAATTTTTGTATCATATATCTTAACGGGTTAACAATGAAACAACATTTTGTGTGATGCACATGTGACGTCGAAGAAGAACCCATGATGTATATCTCTCACTACCACCGGTCTCTGGAGTCCAATACGAAGCCACTGCCTTTGGGAAGATTAGTGAAAAATAGAAGTGGATCCCACGAATTACTAAAGATGGTGAGATTTCATTCTGTGCTGCATGAGTGTGTTGAGGTAATGGATATCCAGACACATCGGTAGCGGCGGGAAACCTCAACATGTCAGGTAGAATCCAACCTATTGATCACACACGGAATATCAATTGTCCGTGTTTACTGCATTGGCAAACGTCACTTCACATGCGCAGAAAGAATCAGTGTTCCTTGCAGTTCGTGTCGCTACACAATTGTTACTGAAAATCATTTGAACCGGTTGCAATTAGTGGTATGAGGATCTATCATTGTGTTCGAAATATATTTTGTATATTTGTATGTAGTAGGATGTCAGTTATACTGAACACATATTTGGCGGCATTCTCACATTTTGCGTGGTAAACACTTAAACAGAAACATATCAACAAGTTTCCGTACAGATTTGGCCCACATAGACTGAGTCACACTGAAAGGTACTTAGATATTTATACATGTGGATTTTGGAAGTTGCTTTTTTCCTTAATTCTTCTGGAACTCAACGCTATTTTGTATTTAATGACATTAACTCATTAAGGCCGAGAGACACATATATGGGGCAAATTAATCAGCTCCTATCAGCGAGTGACGTGTTAATGGGGCTATAAATTGGCAGTTTCGAGCGAGAGCCACATATATCCGTCAACAGAAAGCACCCCTTATTCAGCGAGAGACGCACATGTGTGTCGTACTTTTAAAAATCGCACTGTACCTATTATTTCAACCAATTTAGTAGGGCTGATCAAATATTAGCTTTCCTTACGAGAGATGCTACCTTTAGTGTCAATCAGAAGAAGTATTTAAAGTGTTTTGATAGCAATTGCTAATCATTATCATAGGCTTATACAGTGTTGGCAAATGAACACGTGTCTGCGAGAAAAGGGATTATGATGTGTTCACAGAGGTAAGTGACTGGTACCCTTCATTGGGAATGGATAATAAAATACTTCATATGCACATTGATTGAATTAGATGTAATGGTTTCGAGGTTACTGAAGATTATATTTCCTTCATCTTCCTAATAAATAGGAAACAATATACGAAATTTCAAGGACATACAAAGAATTCAAACACAATAGAATAGTTTGAGTTTACTTTTTAGGTGAGTGAGTGAGTGAGTGAGTTTAGTTTTACGCCGCACTCAGCAATATTCCAGCTATATGGCGGCGGTCTGTAAATAATCGAGTCTGGACCAGACAATCCAATGATCAACAGCATGAGCATCGATCTGCACAATCGGGAACCGATGACATGTGTCAACCAAGTCAGCGAAACTGACCACCCGATCCCGTTAGTCGCCTCTTACGACAAGATAGTCGCCTTTTTATGGCAAGCACATGTGTTGCTGAAGACCTATTCTACCCCGGATCTTCACGGGTCTACTTTTTAGGTATTATTACGTTGTCATGTTTCATATAATGAAACATAATGTATAAACACAAGTAATTAGACATCCAAGCTCGAACAGATTAGAAATAATTTAACTTACTAATTGAAAGCTTACTGAATTGTAACAGATTATTTTCCATACTCTATTGTTGATAATGTTACCAGCGTCTTGAGCAAGCACTAGTTGCCTGGATATGTGCGCTATAGAAATATAGAACATAATACCTAATCGAATATAAAGTGATAAGTCGCGCTTTTGCATCGAATATAATACGTCAGTGTTATTACAACAATGAAATCTTTTACTACGTTTGTCACAAAACACAGTAAGTTGGTAATTCAAAAACTTCTTAGACACAGACAGAAGTAATATCATAAGTTATTACATGTAAACCATACAAAGGTATTTCAAGTATTTTTGTTCAAGCTGTTGAAAGTTTCATGTTGATCTGAATTGTCGGTTTTCTATGCGATTTACATGAGCATTGTGTAAAACATTTCTATTTGATCTCTGTAATAGACAACAACATCAAATCATTTTAATTTCCAAGATCACAGCTAACTAAAGGAATGTTAAATAAACAATGTATCAGCGTGCTCTACACAGAAACAAAGACGTAACGTTTCATCTCGACTGGCCATGTACCTTCTGAAGAGAAGACCTGAAAAGACGCCGACAAAATTCCCATCAGTATGAGAATCAATTTGGCTGTGCTCCGTGAAGTTAATTAGTCTCCGTCAGTAATTTACTCGTCCGAGCCATACATGGGAAAATATACCGAAAACAATGAAAGACGCCACCACACAAGAAGCATCAAATGAAAACAGTTTGAACAAAGTATTAATCAATTGTCATTAGGTTATATCGACTGTGGGCGACTCTCAACACGTCTACAAAATGAGCGTATTAATGAACATGTTCAGAATGTTATTGCGCATGTGTACATATAAGTGCCACAATGCCAAAGAAATATGCACTGAGAGACTCCTATGCAAACATGTCACAAGTATGGATTTCTAGCAGTTGGGGATTAAACTTTTAAAACGTATGAAAAAACTTAATCAATGCAGCCCCGTGTGTGTATAATGATGTCAATTCATCATTGTTCTCTGTAGATGGCGTTTTGGTGTAAGATAACAAACAGGCATGTGCACAAAGAAAAACAACACGGGAACATGGTTAAACTGTTTCTGGTCTTCAACACAAATATTGACTAATGTTGGTAATAGTACAACCATGCCAGCGGAACTGAAAACTCTTTGAAAGGTAAAACCCGTGACAAAGACACCATGCCACGAGTTTCATATCACAGACTTGATCGTATTTGCATTGCCGTCGTTCAAGGATATGACATTAAGTGAATGTAGAGTAATGTTAGAATACTTACGAATATGTATACGACGACATAAATATTTGTGACTGAATACGTGTAGTTTAAATATGTCGTCTTCATTGTTCTCTATTTATATATGTTCTGTATGTAATTGACATGACGACTTCAAGACATACACTTTCGATTTCTCTGAATATGGGTTGTTTCAGATGATCCCAAATTTCTACAAAAAAACTAATTTTGTGTAGTGTGGAACATATTGTGGTTGGTAGAATTAGCCCGGTTCTATTAATCGACGGTTCATGCCAAGCCATGTGGATTACATGTTTTTGCAGAAAATATATTTTGTACTTTGATTTTGACATTATGTCTTGGCCCTTTTTGTTTATAAAATGTCAACTGATTTTGAATTATGTTCTACATAGATTAGATAGGGTCGAATGCTCAGAATGTGGAGGTGCATAGATCGGGTGCATAGATTAAGCTTCAGTTTGTCTTCTGCTGCAGCACAATTATCTCAGTATCATTAGTGTTGTCAGTGAATAATACCATTTTATTACCCATAAGGGCTAGGATACACAGGTGATTATTTTTGTGATATTCAGTGATTCTCAACATTGATTGGTCAGCTAAGCAGAGAAGAAATATGATTGGTTGACGGAACTACTTTTCCTGATCCAAGTTCATTGACAACTTTTAACCTTTCATTGATAATTAGAACGTGCTGTACTCACACATTCCGAGATTTAAAAAAGAAAACATAAAGGTTAAAGAATATGAATACTATTTTTATTAGATATCATTCAAATGCTATAAAATTGCGTTATAAATAGTAGTTTTTTTAAATAAATAACCTCAAAATACAAAACAATTGTTTGCATTGTTTGTAAACAATAGTAGGGTTTTTTTTAAATATGACCGCCATTAGGCATACCCCGATTACCCCCAATGTGCTAGTTTAAGTTGACGGTGACCTAATAGGAAGACTGATAAGAATATTACAGCCCTTGAATTCCTTTAACCTGTTTGCTGTTAAAACTGAATTCGAGGAAATAGAATTAGCAAGATACTGACTATAGGCGTTACCTTAAGTGTGACAAGTGAATGGATCTGCCACGCATTCCTAATCAGTCCGAGAGGTTTGTCCCAGTATCCGATGCAAAGATTGACACATTTCATCGACTCGGATTCCGACTAGAGTTATCCTTCTTGGAATTGCTGCACTGTACTGGGACCAATGACTGACTGTAACACGCCTTCCACAGAACAAAGTGTTGTCTAATCTTCGAACCTGTTGAGTTTGTTGACAGAAAACCTTAACTAGATGAAATCGTGGGATTGTTGTCTTTTAGATTTCCAAACTTTAAACCGTTGACTCTCCCAAAATTGACAAAGTGTGTTTCAACACTACACCATCACCCTGTCACTAGACACACGAATGAACAATGTTCCGGCTCACTGACTTGATCAAATAGCGTGTTAGCTGTTATTACGTTCAATGATATGCATTTAAATGATCAATTTTATCATAATAACAAAAGTTAATACATTATTTTATAAATAATATTCTGTTGTATTTTAAAGCGATTTTACGTGGTACTATTTTCAATAGCGTAGCTATGTTATGACCAATGAAGAAGTTAGGTTTAATACGCGAAGGAATACGAATCAGCTGTTTGAGGTCACAAGTCTTTCTCCGGGTGTTTTTTTATTTCGTTGTTCTTTTTAAATTACATTATGGGTAATAAATACATATAATATATAAAACCCTCAACGAAGGACAGTAAAACCACTAGATTATCACAGCTAAAAAAATAGCTAGCATATATCTTTCAAAGTAGAAAATTATTTCTTGAAAATACAATGTAAAATTGGGCTATAGATCGCCAACAACTGAAGGTAGATCACCATACTAGGGACCATTGGGACTTACAGTGCCTTTGGTACCTGCATGGACCCTAGTTGGATTTACACTATCCCTTCAGCCGCTGGCGATTGTAGGACAAGTTGAGCCGAAATTTAAAGGAAAAAATATACTACGTTTAAAACTCGGGTAAGCAAAAATTAAACTTTGAAAGTTTTGGGACTTACGTACCCTCTCAGGAGGACAGTAATTTTATGCTACTTCAACTCCATTTGAGGGTACAGCCACTAACAATCTCAGTTACTAATATAAACTACCAATAATAAAATATGTATCTATTTACAAATCAGTTAACAAGTCTAATTTTTTAAAAGGCAATAATTAAATGAGAACTTGTATTACTAAAAGATCCTTCATAGTTTGTGATTTGAAATAGATTTCCCTTTGTGATGACAGATTCATGTGATGCTCGTTAGCGCAGTTCACATAATTCATATCGATCTGTCGATAAACGAATGTA